AGAGTATGGGTGGGGGGAGGGGGAGGGGGGAGAAGAAGGGTACAATAGGGTGGGAAAACTTTATATAGGGTCTTTTTTAATTGAAGAATACGGTAAGGCACCGGGTAGCGGGGGGAGTCGCCTAAGACTGAATGGATCAATAGCCTTGGATGGGTGCCACGTGTCCAGTCCGTCAAGTTAGGGGTACATGTGTTTCAATAGTAAGACGGTATGGGATTTTCTGAGCTAATATAGAGGGGTATTTCAGGGCCTTTTCCGTTAAGAAAACTGATTCAATTTCACCCCGCTCCAGTGTTGAATGATATATGACTCCTTCCTTTCCACCACAAAGGTTGCAGTGGATTGATAGAGTTTATCGATTTTTAATAAGAAGTTTTGGTTTTGCATCTTGAAAATAAAATAAAAAATTAGTATGGAGCAATTTTCTTATTAATGGGCCTTACTCTACCCGAATTCAAATTAATTGAAATCTTAAAGCAGGTACTTCTCCACTCCCATGTCATTAAAAAGGTAGTTATCTACTTTAATATTTTTAATATAACGAATGAAGAAATTAAGGGAAGATGCCTATATATGCTAAATAATAAACCTAATTACTACTATCATGGAGATTTTCCTTTAATTACTTAGCACATAGTACATATTTACGAATTGTATATAAAGTACAGAATTAAGCTTTAATATTCCCTATTTTCTCTCCCTCTCTCTTTCTCGCGATTCTCTCTTCATAAGTACTGAAAAGTCAACTAATCAAAGAGAACTGAAAAATTAAATAATTATTTGAATGAAGGACCAAAAAAATATATGTTAAAACAACCTCGACACCACTACCTCCTGCTTTGCTTGTGGTTGCAGCTGCCTCTTGGGCATCTTCTGTTGAGAAGGAAAAATAATAATTATAACAAGAATAATAAGATTGTCAATATATTCTTATGTTAGCAAAGATATTATATTCATCTAATTGATTTATTGTACTGTTATATAGGACCTATTTGTTAAGGCCTTATTAGTATCAAATTGTATATTATATTGCAATAATAATCCCTCTTCAAGTCATTTTCGTTGATTTTTTAATTTTTCCACCATATGCCTATGAGAAGAAAAAGAAATTATACTTTGTTTAAGTGTGTATAACATGAAGACAGGAGCTTAAACTCCGTTGACAACTATTAAAAAGTTTTAAAACTTTAAATTCGAAGTTGAATTTTGTGAACTTTTATATTTGTTTGGATTGGGTATTATTATAAAATGATTGGGATATCCTTTGTAATATATATCTCAATTTTGAGGGAGCTTGGTGAATATTTGAGATTGGAATAACCTTTGGTGTATATATCTCAATTTTGAGGGACCTTGGTGAATATTTGAAGTGATTTTGATTGGAATTTCAAATTAAAACTCGAAGATGATGATACAAATAAATTATATATATTGGATGTACAAATGACGTATAAAATATTGAAATTTTTTTATCAGTTCTCGTGGTGTGGAGGTAGATGAGAGTAAGGCTGAGGCAGTCAGAAATTAACCAACACCTAAGAGCATTAGTGACATTAGGAGTTTTCATGGTCTAGCAAGTTCCTATAGGAGGTATGTAAAGTATTTTAGTACTATAGCTAGTCCATTGATCGAGGCGATTAGGAAGACAAACCCTTCTATTAGGGAGAGAGTCAAGAGGAATCTTTAGGCTTTTGAAGAAGAAGATTAGCTTCGCACCTCTTTTGCAACTTTCTAATTTTGACGAGACCTTTAAGATTGAAAGTAATGCTAGTGGGTTAGGAATAAGAGTCATACTCATGCAAGACCAAAACCTATAGAATATTTTAGTGAGAAATTGAAGGGAGCTAACTTGAACTATTTCATATATGATAAGGTGTTTGCTTTAAAGAGAGCTTTGACCAATTGGAAACACTATCTTAGACTAAGAAGTTTGTGATTAGGACCAACCATGAGTCTCTTAAACATATTAATAGCCAAGGTAAATTGAACAAGAGGCATGCTAAGTGGGTGAAATTCATAGAGACCTTTTCATATGTTATGAACTAAAAGTAAGGGAAGGATAATATGGTTGTTGATGCTTTGTCTAGGAGTTATTCTTTTATGAACATCCTTACCTCTAGGTTGATGGGTTTTGAGAGTATAAAGGAAATGTACCCATTAGATATTGACTTTGAGGAGGCCTATGCTAGACATGATCAAGTGGAACAATTAGGGAGAACTGGGTCTTACGGTCGGGAGAACTACCTAACTAAAGAAAAATATGGAGGATAAAAAGTTGATGAAGTTTCATAAATTTGATGGGTTCTTATTTAAAGGAAATAGATTGTGCGTGCCTAAGTCATCTTGGAGAGAGTTGTTGGTTAGGGAGGCACATAGTGGAGGTTTTTGTCACGATCCAAGACCGCCAACCGATCGTGATGGCGCCTAACACACTTGCTAGGCAAGTCGAACATAACAATAACGAATCATAATAACAGAAATGATGAAATAGTACAAGTCTAAAGCCATCAACATAACATAATAGCGTTGATACATAATAAATTCTCCATAACTGGTAAATAAGAGTTATGAGCTCTAAAATAGAAATACAATTCTAA